TAGTCGATGTATGGATACTCCACTACTTGTCCCTACTTTACTCAGTCGATGGATAACCATATTTTTGTCCATTAACTGTTTCTAAAATTATAATGTAATGATCTCATAGTCTCATGATACTTTGTTGTTAGTAAGCACTAACGGTTTGTTTGCTTAAGATATATTTTACAAGACTAAGTTTTTATAAATTGATATAGAATTTTCTAAGGCTAAGAGTATAAACTCTCTTCGTAAGGCATACACACCTTTTTACACACCTTTTCAATTTTTAATTCTTTCTTCTTTTCCTCGGCTCCTTCTTCTTTTCCTCGGTTTTTCTTCGGTTCCTCTACTTTTTAAAGTTCATAAATTGTATAAGTGAGCCATTTGTACACATTTTTTTTCGAGCTTCGAGGACACTCTACTGCTCCTTTGCCTATTTTATTTAGTCGATGTATGCACACTCTACTGCGCCTGTCCCTACTTTTTAATTAGTTAAGCACGAATACTTCACAGCACTTGTACCTTTTTTTTAAATCAGTCGATGCATGTATACTCCATAGCACATGTCCCCTTTTCTTTAGAAATCGTTGAATTACCATTTTACTGAGCATGTTCATATTTTTTACACATATATATTAAAAACAATTACAGGTTCTTATTACCATTCATACATCTGATTTATGGAGTCCTGTTTATTTCTGTCATAAATTTTTATTTAATACAGCTTCTAAATTTTAGAATGTTTGTATGTTAGTGTGTTACAGCTGTTAAAGTTACAAACTCTACGTAGTTTGGACTCATCACTCTTTAAGTGTACAGCACTATTATATTATTATTATATTATCTGTCTAACATGTTTTTATTTTATTTTTAAATGCTGATTCTAATATAATTTTTTCTCTATCTTCCCTGAGGCTCCTACGGCCGGGTGTGTTCCATAAAGTAACTGATTTTCGAGTCTAGTTGCGAATTATAAAAATATTTTTAAAATAAATTAAAAGATAAATTTAAGAAGCGTTTTCCTTAACATTTAATATAAAATAGAGAGGACAATTTACTCATGCTAGGCTGATCTAGCAATCTTAATTTTATATTAAAATAAATCTTCCCTCTTTCTCTTTCTTCCGCCCTCCCCTATTGATCCGCCCGTGAATTGGTAGCTTTAATCTGAAATTAAAACAAAAACCAAAAATACCACAGGCAAAATATACGCAGTAAAAAAATAAAAAAATTAGAAATTGCGAAGAAATTGAATATTTTAGAAATATATGATGGAATATGTATCTTGGAAATTATATGCAAAATTATTCATGCGATAAAAAACAATGCTTTATAAATTTGTCAGTGTATAGCAATAAACATTGAGAATTGTTAAACGTAAAGAAGTGTTTAAGATAAAAAAATTTTAAAACAGTGTTTAAGAGTAAGTAAAATATTATTTGTTTCTACTTTTATTTACCTTTTACTACTTTTTTATTTTTTAGTATTTTCTTTTTTTATTAGGAGTGAACACATTATCATTCTAATACGAATGTTTCACTGCCTCAATAATATTATTACCTACACCTCAGCAGTTGCTTTCTAATAAACCAAGAATCAAAACCGGTTTGCAAACTTCCAGTTTGTTTTTGTGATAAATGTATTTTACTTTTTAACTTTTAATGTAGTATACATTTTTTTTTGTTTAATTGATTTAAAAAAAAAAATTAATGAACAAGGCTGAAAAAGTTTTTCTAATCTTATGAGCATAATATGATGTCATGAGCTTAACTTTTTGCTTCATAAAAAACTTTTTAAATGAAAAATTAAAACAAACACAAAAAATAACTGCACGGTTATTTTTTTTGATTTAGTTCAGTGTTTCAATATGTCAATCAGATCAAAGAATATGAAGGGATTTGAAAGAAGCGCAAAGCTTATGGATTTCTATAAAAGAAATTCCAGACAAAATGTTGCAGACAAAGATTTTTAAAAATAAAAAAAAAGTGACAAAAGCATATTTAAGGTACTGCTCTCTGAAACATTTTTTTTTTCAAGTTGAAAAATGGTGAAGTTCGAAAGAGAAACCTGCTAATTTATTCACCATCCACTGGAAAAATCTTTTGTTTCTTCTACTGCTTTTTCAAGATTCTGATGACAATTTCAGAAGTGAATTCGATGATTGTTCACATTGACAGCTTTTTATATAAAGGCATGAACAAGGCAGACAGTTCACTAATAGAGTCCAGTGCTGTTTTCAAAAAGTCATTATAAAAGAAAAAACTAATGCTTATTTGAAACAGCAGTTAAAAGATAAAAAGCGTTTCTAAAAGGATGCTCAAAGAAGAGTTTAAAAGGTTTTGGCACAAAAGTATTTATTGTTACTAGTATCAAAATTCAGGATAAAAATTCAAATTTAGATCTTGTTTGCAATTGCGTCAAACTCTTTTGGAATGAGTGACATTACTTCGTAGAGAATTTCTTGACATTCTGAAATGTGCTGGAAGAGTCTCAGGAATTATTCCTAAGCAGTACAAGCATGAAAGTACAAGAAAGAAGATGTGCAAAGCAGTGATTAGTGAGAATACAAAGAATGAAGTTGTTCTAAGTGTCAATGATAAATTTAGAGTTAAATACTTATTTCTTATTATAGACAAGTTGAAACAAAAGCTTTTAGCTCACGAGTCCCAAGAGAGAAAATTTGGCATTCTAACTAGTTTTCTAATCATTAGTCTTCTAGTCATTGTTGTTGTTGTCGAATCCTTGTGTACTATTTAACCTTTAGACTTAGGTACCCGATTCGATTATGAAATTGTCTAGTTTTCGAAGTTTATGGCAAACGAGAAAAGTATATTAACACTTGGATGTTTACAAGCGAATTGTAGAACCAAGTTAAAATCAATATTTCTAAATGCTAACATTGCATACTAGATTTTTCTAACATTTCCCGTAGTCCAGAGCAAGGATTTTCAAAGGTTAAGAATGATCTACGTTCCTCAATGTTGAATGATTTTTAAAATTCTCTTTGTTTAATGACAATTGAAAGAACAATACAATTGAAATACAAGTTTTGAAAATATCGTAATTGACTTTGCCAATGTGAAAGAAAGAAAAATTTCTTTATGAATAAAAAAGTAATTTCACGTTTTGCTGCATTTATTTATGAATATATATATTTAGGAATGGGGCCCCAATACAATTGTTGCGGCCGGTTTTTTACCCACCTGTTAAAACGCAAAAACTTGGCTCGGATAAAATTAAAAAATTCTGAAAGACCTCTAGATAGACTCATAAGGTCTATGCAATGCTTCCATAAAAGAGTGTATTTTAATGAAAACATTAAAAACATTCAATTTTACATTTACTTTAATATTACGGAATAGATAAAAGAAATTCAAACTTGATTGTTAAATAAAAAAAGTACATTAAATTAAACTTTAAAATTGTTAATAAATGCAACAGTAGAATGCAACAAAAATCATTTCTAATGTGGGCCGTCATACACACTCCCAAACATTATTTGTTAATTTAAATATAACGAATGTTTATCAATTAAATGTTTATCAAATTCTTACACTTATGTTCAAAATTAATAAAAATATATCTCCTAAAATATTTTACCCACTATTCAAAATACATCAGAATAGATATCTAACCGGATTTTCAAATATATATATATATTTTTTTATTAGTTGAATTAGGTGCCCCAAGATGTCCTTACGGTCTTATCACAGAGCACCGCGGAAAAGCATTTAATAGGAAGTTCACGCCTCCTTCCCAACCGATGTCGCAAAACTTGCCCAGAAGTGGGGTTTGAACCACGTTGCAAGTATCAGTTATATTCAACCCAAAAGTGTTTTTGCGGCGACTGAATTTTCAATTTTCAACTTTTGCGGCGACTGAGTCTACGATTTCTACTTGAGGGCCAAAATTATGAAATAAAATAATAACTAATGAACTTAAAACAATCGCTTTCGCTTAATGAGTTTAAAAACAAATCGAAGCTAAAACTATTAAGCGACGTAGCTTTTTTCTGAGGTTATAATAATTGCTACAGTTAAACTTACCAAACAATTAGAGGTTTATTATTATCGGCTTGACGGTCCACTTGTTGTTGCTTCCTTTCTTTTTTTTTTTTTTTTAATTATGATTTATAAGAATTATTCAAATATTTCAAGGTATAGGCTGGTGTAAAAGGAAAGCTTCAGGATTATGCATTATTACCTGCATACTTTTAAGTAATATAGTTTCTTTGTAATTACTTTTTTTTTCTTCATTTGTTATTAAATTTTTCTTGAACAATACAAAAACAAAAAGTTAAAGTTTAAGACTTTAAAAACGATGATTTTTATTTAATAAAGTCTTTAGAAAATCGTTTTATATTATATAGTGTTACGTTTTTTAATTTTTGTTGTTTTATACTTATGGTATAGACTAAGGGGCTTTGTGATAAGACCAATAATGTCTTCTTCTTGCCCCTGCTATTTGTACTTATATTATGATTTACGACTATAGTAGCAAAAAAAAAAAAAAAAAAAAGGAAATGAAATTAATTAGTTAATCCAGTTTTTTGATAAAAAAATAGAAATTTGATTCAAATAAATCGGATTAAATTCAGAATAAACTTTTTATTAGGCACCCACTGTAGTTATACGACAGAAAAAATTGTAAATATATTTTGCAAGGTTATGATGTGACCTATTTATTCACTTTGAAAAAATTTTGTGTTTTTGAAAGTTTTAGCCGCTTAGTTAAATCGATGAAAAAAACGATATTTTAAGTTTTAGACATTTTGCTAAATCGATTCAAAAAACGTTTGAATAAAAATATAAAGATTTTTTTCAGATATTTTTCAAACATTTAAAAAAAAAATTCGCACAGAAAAACAAATTAGATATTGCATAATTATATAATTAAAGTATTTTATTTCGTAAAATCAGGAAACAGTACAAATAGTTAATTAGTTACAAATTAATTTTATTAATTATAAAAAAAGTCAAAATATTTTCTTATTTTTGTTTAAGAAATATAGAGTTTCGTGGCAAAACGTTACTGTTGATCTTCTACTTTTTCATAAACTTTTCCTTGCAAGCAGTAGTAATATTTTAACTTTATGCATTTTTCACCGCAAATTTCGTATTCTTTCTTTGGTCTAGCAATGCCATCACAACAAATTTCTTTTTGCCAGTTTATGCAACCTTTTAAACCGCATCTTCCATAATAAAGGTATGGTTTTGGGATACCATTGCAACAAATTTCTTTTTTCATGTTTCGACAGCTCTCTCCACATTGTGTTTCACCATATTTGCCTAGTTTTAATATCCACAAATAATATTTTCATATGAAGTATTGAGCAAAAAGTTCAAAGATATTTGTTTGATATATATTTTAGCAACAAAATACAATATTTATAAAAAATATAACAATTAAAATAGATGAAGTTAAACAAATTCTTACAAATGGCGTATGATTTGTCTTCAAAAATATCTGAACTATCAAAGTCACTTTCCAAACTTGCTGACACCATGAATAGTAACGATGCCAACACTAGTGATTTCATTTTTTTTTTTAAAGTTTTAAGGTTGAAGCAAATAAGAGTTTTGAGTTAACTTGTCGACATATAAAATAAAACTCAGCTTCTCTTTTATACTCTTTACTGTCGTCATAAATAGTTTTACGGGGTAATTAATTTTTATCACTTTGATTACTACAAAATGATTAATCTTTTTATATAAACTTAAGCCGCAAAATTTTTTCTAAAGGCTTTAATAAATGTTAATTATTGGTTAAGTATAGCCTAAAGTCAATTTTCATTAATTAGCTTAATTAGGTAGGTCAAAACTTAATTTTAATAAATACTATGTAACTAGTTATTATAAATAAAAGGACGTATTTATTTTAATAATAATTTTCTATGATTAAAAATAATTAACGAGTTACTCTAAAAATGCAAAATGAAAACTTTTTTTTTCTGCTTTTTTTATTTATTTTTTATTTTTTTATTTATTTTGTTGAATAAAAGGTTCTTGAAATTTAAATATATACATACAAATAATTTAACAACTTATGTAAAACCCTTGTTTTTTTTTAACTTTACTTAATCTAATCGAAGATCAGAAGCACCTGTTACAGACTAACAAATTTTTAAAATGAATTTAAAATATTTTAAAATCATTAAAATAGTTTAATTAATACCTTCACAATTACTTTTAAAATTAAAATTTTATTTATTTTTCTGGATGGTTTATTTTTTTATAAAACATTTGTTCTAAATTTAATGTAGCTGTTATATTAGGTAAAATGCATTATTTTCTTTTGCCTTTAGAAAATTATTTATAAAATTAATACGTTCTCTTAATTATAATAATAGTTACATAATATTCATTTAAATTAAGTTTTGGCCTACCTTTTTTAGCTAATTAACAAATATTGACTTTTGGTTATTATTAATTAATAATTAACAAATGTAAAAGCTTTTAAAAACAAATTTTGTGGCTCAAATTTATAAAAAATCATTTCGAAAGATTAATCATTTTATGGTAACAAAAGCGATAAAAATTAATTTCACCGTGAAACTATTAATGACGACAATAAAGAGTATAAAAGAGACAGCAGAGTTTTACTCTATATGTCGACAAGTTAATTCGAAATTCTTATTTGTTTCAACCTTAAAACTTTAAAAAAAAAATGAAATCACTAGTGTTAATATCGTTACTATTTATGGTTTCAGCAAGTTTAGAAAGTGACTTCGATAGTTCAGACATTTTTGAAGACAAGTCATACGCTATTTGTAAGAATTTATTTAACTTCATGGACTTTAATTATTTTATATTATATAAATATTATAAATATTATATTTTTTTATTAAAATATATATAAAACAAATATCTTTGAATTTTTTGCTCAATACTTCATACGAAAATATTATTTGTGGATATTAAAACTAGGCAAATATGGTGAAACACAATGTGGAGAGAGCTGTCGAAACATGAAAAAAGAAATTTGTTGTAACGGTATACCAAAACCATACCTTTATTATGGAAGATGTGGTTTAAATGATTGCATAAACTGGCAAAAAGAAATTTGTTGTGATGGCATTGCTAGACCAAAGAAAGAATACGAAATTTGCGGTGAAAAATGCATAAAGTTAAAATATTACTACTGCTTGCAAGGAAAAGTTTATGAAAAAGTAGAAGATCAACAGTAACGTTTTGCCACGAAACTCTATATTTCTTAAACAAAAATAAGA